GGCCAGTGGCTTCAGAAGATGTTCCTGAGTGGTTGTAGAAATACCTGTAATGCTTCCCCATAGAGCGTGATACTGTGTGTGTGCACGTGTGTGCATAAAATCATACTGGGGGGAAATCCCTCTGTTCCACTTGATAGAGTTGAGTTTTGATAAAAACTCAATGTTTTATCAAAAGCAATTGTATTTTGTCAGATGCCTTATCAGTGTCTGTGATAATGATTATTTTTGTATTGCATTTAAATTCCTTTTTGAGACAGGGTCTTGCTCTGTTACTCAGGCTGGAGAGGAGTGGCGCAATCTTAGCTCACTCAAGCTCCAGGGCCCACGTGATCCTCCCACTAGTCTCCGGAGTAGCTGGGACTACAGGCACACGCCTCCATGCCCAGCTACCTTCGGTATTTTTTGTAGACTTGGGGTCTGGTTATGTTGCCCAGACTGATCTCACTCCTGGGCACAAGCAATCCACTGGCCTCAGCCTCCCGAAGTGCTGGGATTACAGCTGTGAACCACTGTGCCTGGCCTTAATTTTTTAATGTAATAAATTTTGACATTTCAGAAATAAGCCCACCTTGCAGCAATGTACTGTAGTGTTCTTTTCCACTGCTACTTGATGGTTAGTATCTTGTAGAGAATTTTTGAACATTTATAACTGAGGGCCCTCTGCTGTTTTCTTTGCTGTGTAGCCTAAGTCGGGTGGAGGTGGCAATAATGTTGGCATTCCATGATAACCACAGCCTCAAAAGACAGATAAAGACAAGGCTCCTCTTGTCTTTACATGCTCTGAACGCCTAAAATAACCTTGAAACTGTCTGCTATTTAAAGGTTCTGTCGAATTCTACAAAACTAACTGTGTGTGGTGCTTTGGCGAGAGTGTAGTAACCCTGCTCTTTGGTGGGGTTTTCTACTTATTCCACAGAAATTAGTAGGCTTATATATCCTGTGGCTACTTCTCATGTTGTCTTACAGAGCAGTAGTTTTACTCTCAACAGCCATTTATAAAAAAAGAGATCTCCAACAGTCACTCTGCATGGGGTGATGCCTCTGTAGAAACTTGCATTTTATCAGCTAACAGCATCACTGGAAGGATTGCAGTAAATGTTGTTGGCACCACGGCTGCCCTGTCCTGGGCTCCTGATTGTCCCCAGCTACTCCGAGTGCTGGCCAAGAGCAGCCCACGGCTGCAGACTCCTCCTGAGAATGGCCCTGGCCAGCGGAAGCCTTCGCATTCGGAGCACCCACAGCTTGTAACTGACACATCACACACCCTTGCCTTATACTATAGAGCTTCCTGCTGGGTCAGCCAGAGACTGAACCTCAGCACAGCCTCCCCTCACCCCATCCTGTCTTCCTGATTCAATAAGCCCCTGCTGGGGCATCCCCAACCCAGCCTCTGCTGCAGGATGGCCTGGCTTCAGGCACATTTTTATGCAAAGCATTGCTCATTGAGTGCAGAGCATTTTTTGTGTCCATACAGCTTGGCCTGGCCTCACCCTGACCCCAGCAATCAAGGGTCTCTGTGTGGGGAACCAGAGCACTGGAAAAGGAGAACATCAGACACTTCTGTGCAGGGTCCGCCCTGCCCCAAATGCCACCGGTTTGTACCTGGAGGGTGATGCCCATATACTAAGGACCCCATTTCTCTCCATAGATTTCAGCGGCCTCCAGCGGCCTGTGGCCCCGCCGTGGCGACGTTACCCTTGCGCTGGCTGGCCCCTGCAGTGGGGCGTTAAGGAAAGCGTGTTTATCTGAATGCTGCCTGGTGCAGTTTCTGTTTTTGACGCCTTTTTGCTCGCCGTGTTTGACGGCTGCTGAGCTCTATTTTCCACCTCAGGGTGCTGCCTGGTACTGATCGCCCTCGGGCTCGAGGGGAGAGATGACCATGTCCGTCCTCTCCTTTTCCCCATATTAAATTGGTCAGCCTTGAATTCGGTCGTTCTTCATTAAAACCTTCCTATTTCTCATTTGAAGTATGTGATGCTCAAGCACACCCTCTATGTAAACTTCCCGAATCCTGTGGATTCAGTGCCTGCTTTGCTCTCTGGGTCCCTCCCACCAGCCCACTCCCAAGGGCGCTTCCTAAGTCCTCCCACGCAGTGTCCTGGCCCCTTCTCTCCTCCTGTGCAACTCAACACTCACTCACGGGCGGCAGGACTGCTGGCCCTTTCACTGATCCCACTGTCTGTTACTGAAGAGCTGGTATCTTCAAGGTTGTACTCCAGGCCTCTGTGACTAGTTTCCACCTGCCTTTGAAGCTTAGCCCACCACTGTCCCACACATCTCCGACGGGTTCCAAAGTAAGTTCATTGTCCCACAGAATACACCTGTGCCCTTTCCCATCCCTGCCTCTGGCCGCCATGCCCACTCTGCCTTGGGCGCGCCATCCCACCACCTGTGCAGAAGCTCCCGATGTAAGTCCATCCCTCTCCCTCTCCTCCCTCCCTCTCCCTCCCTCATGCTGGTGATACACAACGATGTATCCTGCTGTGGGCGTTTCTGAGTGCCTCATCTCCCTAAGTCCAGGCTTCCTTTCTGCCCTGGGAGGAGCATGGTGCTGGCCACAGGAGTGGGATTAAGGAAAGCTGAAGATGCAAACAATGCACTTCTTGGGCCTCACAATTGTGCTGAGTGTGTCAGAGCCTGGAGCCAAACAGAGCTGGGAATTAATGAGGGGTGACGGGAAAGCAGTTGCTTTTTTCTACAGCTCCAATTTCCACAGAACCCAAAGAGGGGGAGCAGGCCGGGGCCTCAGAGGCCACAGCACCTATTCCCGAAGAGTCGTGTGTTTCCACCAGAGACTGTATGCATGCGGGCCATGAACACGGAGATCGTTAGGAAACCATTATCAGCTTGTTTCCTGTTTCCCTGAACACCTGCTTCCATGAAGCTGGAACTGCGGAGGGATTTCTCCATCACGATGGCGTCCTCATGAGCCATTTCTCCACAGTCTGCATGTCACTGACTGCCTGAGTGACAGGCGGCCCCTCCCCTGGCAGGGTCAGTGGCAGCCGCCCACCCCACCTCCCTGTAGCCTTAGCTCCTGGTCCCATCTGCTCCTGAGACCCCCGCTGGGAGGCAGCCCCGGCCCCCAGAATGGCCGACAGAGGAGGATGCCTGGGCCTGGGACGGGGCAGCTGCTCATGAACTTTCCTGGGGGGGCTGGTTGTGTCCTACTTTGATGAACGCAGCCGGTGTGGGGAGGTCCCGTCACTTCCTGAGCTGACGGGCAGTCCAGTCCCACTGGGAGGGGTAGCGTGTGGACAACAGGACCAGGACCACGGCGTTCTCTTTGGGCACAGAAATGGGGGAGAAGCCAGGAGAAGCTGGGATGAGTGGGGACAGTGGTGGACATGGGCAGGAGGCGGGGGCCGTGCTGGACAGCTTTGCCTGCAAGGAAGGAGACTGGACAGACAGAGCCTGGCTGCAGAGCCAGGGGACAGGGGTGCCGCTCGGCCTCTGTGGGGCCCTTCTCCAGCGGTGGGTCCCACCGACTCCGCCCCACATTCTCCCTGGTGCTCACTGACAGTGCTGACACCCCCCTTTTATCTTTCAAAGAAATATCCACGGTGGGGGCTGGAGAGGGCAGATGCCCTCGAGGCTGAAGAACTAAGTGCTCACAGGAGAAAAAGTCACATCAGAGGAGAAAGCGTGAGTAAAGTGCTCACAACATGCCCAGCGCTGTTTGTGGTGGGAAAGTCAATTTTATTTAAAATGGGAGTTCTGCTCCTGGCGGGACGTTAATTTTCGTGTCACCTCTTCCACGAAATGGTCCAGACATGTATTTACCAGGTAACTCCGTGGAGCTGACTGCAGTCAGCAGCTCAGGAGCCTCTGTGCTGCCCTCACATGGCATGGGACCTGGGCCCGGTGGGCAGCTGTCACATTCCAAGGCTCCTGGGCGCCCACAGCACACCCGCCGCCTGCAGCCGAATAGCCCGGACCATGGATTTGTTATTGGATCAGCAATACTGACCCGCCTAATGACACGGACTCCGTAGGGAGCCCCTGCTTGGAGAGTTTGGTGGAAATTCTGGCTCGTGTCCTCAAGGAATTCGCCATCTGAGTGAAGAGAAAATACACATCCACACAGACACGTTAGAGTGGCTTGTGGTCTTCCAGCTTCTCCTTAAACAAAATGATGGATATTATACTTTCAGGGCATTAAGTTGGGGATTGTTTTTGAGGTTTGTTTTGTTTTCCGTCCTTGAAGGGAGTATCATTTTTGTGGGTGGGGTTCCTTTGACCGTGGTTAAAATGATCACCGTGTGAAAAGCAAATCGTGACACATCCGGCCTCCTTTTCCGTGTCAGTGTGAAGGGTTCATCAGCTCTTGTCCTGCGAGGACGTGCTGCGGGAGAGGGAAGAGTGCAGAGGCGGGCGGGAGGGACGGGAAGGAAGCCGGGGCCACGGGCGGGGCCACGGGCGGGGCGGGAAGCGGGGGCCACGGGCGGGGAGAGGCGGGCCACGGGCGGGGCGGGGCGGGGCGAGAAGCGGGGGCCACGGGCGGGAAGAGGCGGGGCGGGAAGCCGGGCCACGGGCGGGGAGAGGCGGGGCGGGAAGCCGGGGCCACGGGCGGGAAGAGGCGGGGCGGGAAGCCGGGCCACGGGCGGGGCCACGGGCGGGAAGAGGCGGGCCACGGGGGCGCCAGAGGCGGGCGGGAAGCCGGGGCAGCTCTGCTCGCTCACGGGCCCGGGACTTAGAGGTGAAGGAGACCTCAGTCTGACCCCCGGACCGCGCCCTGTGCTGCAGAAGGAGCGCGCACAAGCTTCAGGGTCACGGGAGGCGCCCCGAGCGCTGCCTCGGCCCACCGTGGGGCGGACGGAATCCTCGGGCACGCGTGGCGGCCCGGGCCGCGCGGAAGCCTCGCTTCCCAGCTCTCGGGACGCGGCGTTTCCGAGGGTCGCTGCCCCGGAGAAGCTGCTGCGCTGAGACCCTGAAAAGACGGAGGAGCAGGGAGAGCCCGACCTCCGGGCCGCGCGCCCTGACGCTGTCTGTGTCCCCAGGCCTGGACGCTCGGCAGGCGCAGGTGGTGGTCCTGTCCTCGGGGACCAAGTGCATCCGCGGCGAGCACCTCAGTGACCAGGGGCTGGTGGTGAACGACTGCCACGCGGAGGTCGTGGCCCGGCGGGCGTTCCTGCACTTCCTCTACTCGCAGCTGGAGCTGCACCTGAGGTCAGCGGCTGGGGACGGGCCGGGCGGGCAGACACCGCGGCTGGGGGCTGCCGGGGAGCGGAGGGGGCCCCGGGCCGGCTCGGAACACACTTCCCTCTCTCCCGGCACAGGGTGAGCCGGGAAGCGTCCCTTGTCATTCAGACTGGAGACACCCCGGACACCCCGGGCACACCAGCAGAGCCACCGTGCCGGCTGGGGAGGTGCTGACATTCCAGGCTTCCTCCTCACCCCGAGAGCTGGGACACGCTCCAAGACCCCTCACTCTTGTGTCAGAAAAGGCAACGGGGCCAATATTCACCAGGAGCTGGTTACAGGCCTGGCGCTGTGCCGCCAGCTGGGGGGGTCCACAGACAGGTGCACGTGTCACCTGCCCTGCATGGAACCGGCACAGGGGAGCGGGTCCAGGGCGGCCAGGTAGCTGACAGGCTCTGTGCCGGGGCCCAGGCCTGCGGCACGTTTCCGGGGGTCCTGGGGAGGCGGCTGGGGCCGTGCGGGGCGGTGGGCGTGGGAGGAGTGGGCAGAGGTAGGAAGGCTGGTGCACGCTTCACGCGCTTCCTGCAGAGAAGATGTCTGTTCTGTTGCCTGTGATCGCAGGGTCCCACAGCGCACAGTCCATCACCCACCGGGTAGAACGTGCAAAAACAGCAGGACTGGCAGAAAGCAGACAGCCAGGAGGCAGGGGAGCAAACACCGAGGGGACACGCAGGCGCCCTGTTCAGGGCCCGCCCGCTCGGGTGGGGCCCGGGGGGCCGCTCAGGTTGAACTTTGTGGCTGTTGGGGTTTTGCAGCAGGCCAAATCCTTCCCCATCAGAGAGAGGCTGGGGCTTCTCCTGCCCCACCTGGGTCATGGCCGGAGGCGGAAGGAAAGCCGTTTCCCCTTGGCTCACTACATCCACCTGTGCTGGTAACTGAGCCCGGGCTTCCTAAAGCTCCTTTCCTCCTAAGCAAACACGAACTGCCCACTTATGCCATCTCAAACCCATAGTCCATTGTGAGGTATGGCCATGAGCAGCACTGGCAAATCCCCAGAATCACGCCTCTGTGGACAGACAGATGTGGTTAACAGCAATGGAAAAAATGGCTCGGGAAAAGATCATGGTGCAACCGGGCGCGGTGGCTCATGCCTGTAATCCCAGGTCTTTGCAGGGCTAAGGCGAGTGGATCGCCTGAGGTCAGGAGTTCGAGACCAGCCTGGCCAACATGGCAAAACCCCATCTCTACTAAAAATACAAAGATTAGCCGGGTATAGTGGCAGGGGCCTGTAATCCCAGCTACTTAGGAGGCTGAGACGGGAGAATCGCTTGAACCCAGGAGGCAGAGGTTGGAGCGAGCCATGATTGCACCACTGCACTCCAGCCTGGGCGACAAGAGTGAAACTCCATCTCAAAAAAACAAAGCCTTGGTGGCTCACACCTGTAATCCCAGCACTTTTAGAGCCTCAAGCAAGCAGATCACTTGAACCCAGGAGTTCCAGACTATCCTGGGCAACATAGCAAGACCCTGTCTCTACAAAAAAAAAAAAAAAAGGGTAAATAAATTAGCCTGGCATGGTGGTATGCACCTGTAGTCCCAGCTACTTGGGAGGCCGAGGCAGGAGAATCACTAGAGCCCGGGAAGCTGAGGCTGCATTGAGCTGTGATCACACTGTGCACTCCAGCCTGGGCAGTAACAGAGCAATACCTATCTTTAATAATAATAACTGACAGGTGAACGTTGAGCGGGGGCAAGAAGGCAGGGTTTCTGCCAGTCATGTTCGCATTCATGTGGTTTCATTGCTGGTGCAGGGAAAAGACGCTATGGAGTATGAAAAAGAAAAAACTAGGGGCCGGGCGCAGTGGCTCACACCTGCAATCCTGGCACTTTGGGAGGCTGAGGTGGGCAGATCACCTGAGGTCGGGTGTTTGAGACCAGCCTGGCCAACATGGTGAAACCCCATCTCCACTAAAAATACAAAAATTAGCCAGGCGTGGTGGTGCACTCCTGTAATCCTAGCTACTAGGGAGGCTGAGTATTGCTTGATGCTTAAGGCAGAAGAATTGCTTGAACTCAGGAGGTGGAGTTGCAGTGAGCCAAGATCATGCCACTACACTCCAGCCTGGGCAACAGAACAAGACTTCGTCTCAAAGAAAGGCAAAAAAAAAAAAAAAAACAGAAAAACTTGGGGAAAAACTCTACAAAGTAGGACCCAAGTGTTCAGCAGGTTGAAATGCTTCTGGTTTGGTTTGTAATAAATGACCCCAAACCTCTTTGTGACCCTAGCACGCGGCGCGAGGACTCGGAGCGATCAATCTTTGTGCGGTTAAAAGAAGGTGGCTACCGGCTGCGGGAAAACATCCTCTTCCACCTCTACGTGAACACCTCCCCCTGCGGAGACGCGAGACTCCACTCCCCCTACGAGATCACCACAGACCGTAAGAGACAACACTTTTACCTCCTGTAGGCCGACAGGCCCCGGCACGCTCTACCGGGGACTCTGTCCTGGGCTTTCCCAGGCCACTGTGGGGGCACCGTGTGCCCCAGCCCGTCAGTGCTGGAAGGATTGCGTCTGCAATTAGTGGGATAACCACGCCTTCAAAATCGTAGTCTGAAATGCTCAGGTGATTGGCAGAAAAGTAGTCTGAGGCCTAAAATTAGCTACCTAGTTGCCGTAGTTCTCTGCTTTGTTTTAATAACGCCTACAATCCCTGTGTCCCAGGCCGGGAAAATGGAATGAAGAGAAGGCCAGTGAGTTAGGCAGACTGGGAACAAATTCAGACTGGCTCTGCTTGCCTTTGCTCACAGTGTTGGGGAGAAAAAGCTCAGCTTTTGTAACCACACCAGGGATGAGTGATTCCCTGCAAAGGGGTCTTCGCAGGTGAACTATGAAGTTCCCGTGCAAACCCGCCCTGTGAGTGTTTATCAGTGGATGTAGGACAGAATGCATCCACACGGCCTCCACCCCTCTGTCCTCTCCATCAGCAAAGGGCAGTGACACTGTGAATGCCAGGGTCAGAGGGCAGGGTGCGGCTCTGCCTTGATGCCACCCTTGACATCAGCATTTCCATCATGAGAGAAAAGGTGCTGCAGGCAAACTCCTCTTAATGATGAAATCCTATTGCTTAGTGCTGTCTGCATATGTCACACATGCATATGTATATGCCACATACACCAGACCCGTGCCACACACCACACAAATACCACACACATACCACACACACCATACACGCCACACACACCACAGACATACCACATACAACACACACCACACATATACCACATACACCAGACACATACCGCATACTGTACACACACACCACATACGCCACATGCATACCACATATACTACATATCCACACCACACACTGCCTGTCCCAGGCAGGTCTTTCAGTGCCGGCAATGACGTTAAATCTATGTGTATGATGAGGGGTCCAATCCTGATACAGGAGGAAATCTCTGGTGGACATACACGGACAGCACACTACTACTAAGGCTTGGCTTTGACCTGACTTTCCCCCAGTGAAAAGCTACATGGTATTTTCATTACCAAGGTAAAGAAAAATAAGTGTTTTTTTAGAGCCCTGCTGTGTCCCAAGCTTGTCATGCAGCCTCCACCAAAGATGATAAGATGTGGGGTAAAGGTGTTTTTAATCCCACGTGAGGTTAGCCTGATTCTCCAGCCCTCAGATCAGATGCTGGCCCAGAAAAACTCCTCCTCCTATTTGCAGGCTTCCCTCCAGCCGCACTGCTTTCTCCTTGGGGACTGGCTGGAGAGAGTTCTCTATAAGTGGATTCAGGTGGCATTTCCACACCCTTTGGAAATGAGATGGGAGAATCCCGTCAAACTGAGAATGAAGAAAAGGAAGCCGGTTCCACATCAACAACTTGTACAGGAACAGCCTGCAGGACGGAGAGAGGCAGGGGCAGCCTGTGCACCTGAGGAGTGGACACAGCCCTCCCCAGAGGGAAGGGGGCCCAGTGCGGCCCCACAAGATGACACAGAGCATCCCCCGCCACCAGGCCAGCTCAGGAGCAGAGACAGAAAAACCGCCAGGAGTAGCTTCTCACCGGACAGATTCAGTGAGCCAGAGCTACGTGATACCGACTCACCCTATAAAACTGTGAAATCTGGTCCATTGGACAGCTACTGGGAATTCTCTTTCCATTCTTCTTGAAAGGGTTGGCATCATGAAGACCCAGCTAGGCGCCCTCAGACTCGAGAGAAGTCTCGCCAAATGTTTGGGGCTAGCGCTAATTCATCCAGCTTCTTCCTTGGCTAATGTGTCCCTGGTGGGAGTCGGGAGAGGACCAAGTGAGAACGGCAGGAGCCTTGTCCATGCCAGAGACCCCGTGGTCTCCCCAGGGGACAGTTCTAGCTCATTGGGCCTCCCATGTCTCTGTACATCGATCACCAACTGCAGCATCTCCAGCCAGCCCTCAGTTCCAACTGTCTGTGGTTTAGAAAAATAAATACATTCTCTGAGGCACCCTGGGGTTCATTTCCAGACACAGATGTCTTTTATTTCATGTTGCTTTTAAGAAGTGACAGGTGCTGGTAGGAGAAAAAATAAAGCATTTTTCCTTCATTTTTGCAGCAAATATGCCAAAAATTGAGAAACTCCTGCCTGTGCTTGCCTCTGTTGGGCTGGTGCCACTTTTCCGCTCTCCTATCAGGGGAACGTGGAGAAGGAAGGCACTTGGTGACTTTCTAACAGGGACTCGTCTGCCAGAGTCACTCAGTAAAGGCAGGAGAGCCCAAGTGCCTGCTGTTCTCTGCTTGGAAAGGAGCCTTCAGAGAGCTGGCCCTGCATCCTTCGAACCCCCTGTGGAAGGCAGAGACCCTCAGGAAGAACTCCTGCCATTTCCCCTGCAGAGAGATGCATTAAGCTCCTTTACGATAAGGGGCAGGGGTCCCCATGTTGCTAACTCAGGCGGTGTGTTTCCTTGTTACCCTTTAAAGAGGGTTGGGCCATGGAGAAGGGGATGCAAGTGGCCAGGCTTTTGCTGTGAGGGGCTCCTCCAGGGATAGCCAAAAGCAGAGTCAATGGTGACAAGCCCCCGAAGGAAAGGCCGGCGGCGGGATCTGCATGCCTCCAGTTCTCACTGTTCACAGAGGCCTGTGGCTGGCACCACCTCCCTCCTGTGGATTAACCCTGCAGAAACCCAGCGGCACTGCCCCTCCAATTCAGAGGCCAACGCCCCAAAGGAAGCCCAGGGAACCAGGAAAGCCCTGAAGGCTGTGATGTCATTCTCACAAATGCAGAGGCCACAGAGTGCAGAGCACTTAGTTCCTTCACCAAGACATTCACTCGGGGCCAGAGGAGTTCATCTGAATCAGACAGAGTAGGTCTCAGTCTTCTCGAGTGCTCTCTGCCTCTGGCCCCTTCTGGACCTGTCCTGTGTCCTCTCACCAGCATGGTGCTTGGTCCTGGTCACTTCAGCTCATTGCTTCCTCACTCCTCCATTGCATTGAACTGTGGCGTGTCCACAGGGACCACGCCTGTTAACCTCTCTTGCAACTGTGCCAGACCTCTCTCTCTCTCTCTCTCTCTCTCTCACACACATACGTACCCACACATACACAAATACACATGCGTAAGCACATATGTACACTTAAACACACATACAAAAGCACATGTGCACATGCATAAGCACATATGCACACAAACGTACATAAGCACATGCATAATCACATGTTCACACAAACATGCAAAAGCACATGCACACACTAACATGCATGAGCACATGTGCACATACAGACGTATGTAAGCACGTGTACGCATGCATAATCACATGTACACATGCGAAAGCACATATACACAAATATGCATAAGCACATGTACACACACAAGCACACAACAGGTATCCGATGCATCAGGATCTGGAGACATAACTATGATGTGACTAAGTCAAAGAGAAGTTTGGTGCCCTAGATTGTTCCCCTTTCCTTCAAAAATGAACAGAGTAGAGCATAAAACATTTCTGTAGATAAGTTTAAATAATCATTACAGTAAGTGTCATGTAACCGAAGGCCGAGGAGAGAAGCAAGTGTGATGTGGAGTTTCTAGGCGCACACTTCTGATTCCCCAGTGGCTGTTGAGCGGCTGCCTCCCAGCAGCAAACTGCTCCGACAGCTTAGCAGGACCAGGAGTTTCCGGAGCCCCAACCACCTGAGGCCCAGGCTCAGGGGCGTCAAGTCTTAGACACAACACAAGGGCCCTGGAGTTGCCATCAAGCCCCACTTCCCTAGGGTGCATGTGGCTTGAGAAATTCTGGATGTCCCCATTTTATTTTTCCCCTCAAAAACATTTGTCTAGCTAGATCATAAATTCCCCATTTCTGGAGGCGTTAGACATAGTATCAATGCCAATTGGTCTCAGGTGTTTTGGGAGCTGTGTCGCCTGTGAGCTTTGGAAGGCATTTGAGTTTGCTGTTTCCATCCCTGGCTCATCTATCAGGGTCCCAGGGCAGTGTTTGCCAATGTAGCTCCCCCCATGCACTCTGGCCGAGATTCTGATGCATGCAGGGCAGAGAGGGGTCCAAGGCTCTGCAGTTTTCTGAGCACAGGTTGGGTTTTGAGCCACCAGATTTGAACTCCTTAAATCATCTCCTCAGACTGGGCATTTGTTGCCTTGCTGGCTTCGTAGAAAAGGGTTGGAGGCATGGACGGCCTGGTAGCCTGTCTGTCTGCAGAGGCCAGGCAGAGCTATGGCTGGACTCCCGGCTCTGTGGCATCATGGACAGGAAAGAAACTTGTCTGTGGTGTAGCGCATGCAGTAGAGGGGAAAGTTGCTTCTGCAACAGAGACTACAGACTTGGTCTTCAATGTCCTGAGACCCAGGCCTACTCCGTTCATCTCAGGTGACTCAAAATTGTCACATGTGTGGCTTTTCTCTGGACCTAGAAGGGCCAGGTCAGTTAAGGTAGGGACAAATGCCTGAAAGACATTTCTTCCCACATCCAGGAGAACATGCTGTGTGTTTATGTCAGAGTCAGGTTTCCGATGACTGCTCTCAGCCCAAGCTCAGAGAGGGTAACCGGTTCCTTCATGGCCTAGGTGAGAACTCAGGCAGTCCTGAAAGGGCCAAAATGGAGCAGAAGATGCGGACCTCAGCACTTCACTGTGGATGAGCAGCTCTTCTCCTCCCAACCCACCAATAACCTGCCTACAGATTCTTCCTTCTTGGAGTGGTTTTTAAATAGCCTGGTAAATTCAGTTCTTACAGCCATTTTCTGAGAACTTAACAGCTTAAATTCTCCAGTCTGTATCCAGAAAATGCCAAGAAAAATAGATTATGTCACATATTTACCTACAGGTTCATGCTAACAGCCTAGTACATTTGTTCTAAGCCAATTCCATTCATTGAATAGAAAGGCACTTCAAGAGATTTAACCAAAATCTCATAAGAAGTCAGGGAATATAAAATACAATTCCTTAAATTCCTGTCTTCAGATTTTCC